AAACATGGACAATGCTGTCGTCCAAAAATGGAATGTGAGTAACATCCATCTGCCATAGTGTTAGAGGGCTGAGACCAGGAGGATTAACTCCCTCAGAGGGCACAGGCAAATGAGGAGCACAACTTGAACACCATTTAACAATTTAATGAGCTTGTTCTTGGGTGATATGAAAATGTTTATGAAGAACTCTGGAGTTTTGGTGGAAGTGTGAATGACTTTGTATGGTCTGGTTCACTGGTAAGGAGATATCCACCTGTAAAATTAGTGGAGAAACCAAGGCATCAGCCTGGCAATTGCCCTCTGCCAATGGCCCACAAAATAGGGATGTTGGTGTTTCTTTAAGGAAGCCCTTAATTCATGGAAGAGATGAAACAGTTGTTCATGTTTGGTGTGTTCTATATAGGCGGTTTCAATAGTTTTGACCACACTGCATACATACGCATTGTCTGTGTACAAATTGAAAGGAACATGAGCAAAGTCCTGACAAGTCAATATAACTGCTGGAAACTCACCATGATGAGCAGTGGAAAAACCTGTTTGTACCTCCTTTTGTCCTTGACAGGAAAAGTAAGAAGCATTTCCAGAACCTGAAGCATCAGTAAAAATCACAAGAGCCTGAGGCATGGGATCCTCTCAGATATTGTGAGGAATTATAAAAGCATGCTGAGAAGCAAAATTAAGATGTTTAGAGGAAGGTAAATGTTCTCCAGGCTGTCCTGTAAAGTTAGCTAATGTATTTTGCCACATGGTATCAGTACGCCATAACCAAGCCTGTTGTTCCTCGGTAAATGGGACAATAATAAGGGATGGGTCTAGTCCTAGCAGTTGTACAGTGTAAAAATGTCCCATGGCTATTAATTTTGCTACCACATTATGGTAAGGAGTGATGATCCTAGCATGGAAGAGAGGCAAATGTAACCACTGTAGTACTCACTGAGACTGCCAAAGAACTCCTGTGGGTAGACTTGAGTAGTAAAAGAAGAAGTTGAACTGGTTGATAATAATAAACACAAGTTCTCTGAGAGTTATGAATAGCTTGTTCAGCCTTAACCAGGGCCATAGGACCCTGTGGTGTAACATATCTAGGAATTGGTAGTTGAGTGTCTCCCTGTAAAATTTTACCACTTCATAGGTAGTAAGTTTTAAGGCAGGACACAGCCAATTATATCACCTAATAATTTTTGAAAATCATTTAAAGTTTTTAAATTATGTTTACAGATTTCTATTTTTGGGGGGTGGACAGTACATCCCTCAATAAGCTGTCCCAAATATGAAAAGGGAGATTCTTTTTGTACCTTTTTTGGAGCTACAGTAAGGCCCCATTTTGGCAATTGTTTAAGCCACATGAGCTAATAGATTTTGCAGGATATCTAAATCAGGATGGCTATGTAAAATATCATCCATATAATGAAAAAATATAAGCTTGATTAAATTTTTGTCTTAAAGGCTCCAACACAGTAGTGCTGTTTGTCATTCCCTGAGGCAAAGCTTTCCAATGGTAACATTTACAAGGAGCCTGGTGATTAGGCATGGGTACAGAAAAAGCAAATTTGTCTCTATCTTCCTTATGTAATGGAATGGTAAAAAAAAAAAAAACTAACCTTTTGAATTAATAATATAAAGATAATTTTGTAGGGGAATGGTGGTGGGTGAAGGAAGCCCAGTTGTAAAGATCCCATTTGTTGCATAATTTTACTAATAGCTCTTAGATCCTGTAGGAAACAGCATTTGCCTGATTTTTTCTTAATGACATAAAAAGGAGTATTCCATGTATTATGAGACATCTATATGTGTGAAGTGGGGTGGGGGGAGTTATTAATCAGGGTCTCCTCTAAAACAATGTGTAGGAGATGTCTCATATCCCAATCCCATATGAGGACAGGGCATAGAAGAGATGGGTTCCTTTATTCTCTGTTGACTCTTTCCTAGGCCCTTACAAGGATCAAAACCCTGTTGGAATACCATATATGAAACCTGAGCACGTGGGCTATATAAAACAGCTCTCATTTCCTGTAAAACATCTCTTCCCAATAAATTTAATGGCAAATCTTGTAGCACACATGGTAAAAAGATGCCAGAATGTCCTTCCTCATCATGCCAAGAGATGGCGCAAGCACCGCGTAAAGGAGCTGTAGCAGAGCCAACCCCTTTTAAATCTGCTGTAGTCTGAACACAAGGCTGTGTGGATGGCAATGTCACTCTGTAATTATGGAAACATCCGCTCCGGTATCTAACAATCCCATAAACCGGTTGCCGTTTAAAAATAGAGCCTTCTCGGGACAGTCAGAAGCGACTCGTACCCACTAAACATGATCGGAATGACCAAACCCTTTTTCTCCCTGTGGGGTGTCCGTGAGCACTTTTCCTACCCTTACATTGGGAAGGATTACCAACTGTGCCATCTTGTCTGTGGGAGCATCAGCCACAAAAGTCTGAGGAGCTTGAACAAGAATTGTAAGTTTTCCCGTAAAATTTTGATCAACAACTCCAGGATGTATTTGCAGACCCTTTAATGTCATATTATTTCTTCCCCAAATTAATCCTATTGTCCCTTCTGGTAATGGCCCATAGACTCCTGTAAGGATTGCCTGAGTTCCCATCTCAGGAGGGGAGGGATTGAGATGTAGTCCTGCCCTTCCAGGGGCGGCACAAATGAGGTCTGTAATGGTGACCCCACTGGTCTTTTCTGGAAGATGGTGAGTGTCCTTCCTGTTTAAGGGGACCAGGGCCCCCATGAGTTTCTCTGCTGCCTTTGTAATATTCGCCCTTCTATATCAGGTTGTGAGTGACACTCATTAGCCCAGTGATGGCCACGTTTGAAACAAGGACATATTCCTGGGGGGGGGGGTTGTCCTTGTCCAAAGGATCCAGCAGGTGGCGCATTTGCCTTTATGACATTCTTTAGCAAAATGACTTTTTTTTACAATTAGAACAGACACCTCCTTTTGAAGGGCGTAAGGGTTCCTTCAGAATGGCTGCTAATGCCATTCCCTGAGTGTAGCCTTCGTCTATATCTGAACAAAGCTGAATCATGTCTTGTAAGGAAGCCATTTTTCTATAAGGTCTGAGAGCTTCCTTACAATGTTTGTTAGCATTTTCAAAGGCTATTTGTTTTACAAGGAGAGTACCCAGTTCAGGTTCCCCAACAGTTCTACACATATGATGTAATAGGCAAGCCACAAAGTCTTGAAAAGTCTCCTCAGGAACTTGATGTAGTTTAGTAATTTCTTGGGTCTTATCTCCTTTAGTGGGAAGCTCTTTCCAAGCTCTGGTGGCAGTGATACCCCTTTGGTCATATGCTAGCGGGGGATAATTTAATTGACTTTGCAAGCCTGTATGGTCCCCTTGACCTAGGAACATATCTACAGTGATTGGTATTCCATGATTAACACTGCAGGTGGCTTGTTCTTTACCTATTTCATTTTAGCTAGTTTTCCATAATAAATAATGTCCAGGTCTAAGACAAGCTTTAGCAACAGCCATCCAATCGTCAGGAGGGAAGCAGAGCCAGCAGCAATGCTGTTTAACAGTTGCTGTGTAAATGGAGCTGTAGCCCTGTACATAGTACAATCTTCCTTGAGTTCTTTTAAAGTTTTAAATGGAGTGGGTTCATAATGCCTCTGAGGCTCCCCTGCAGCTGGATCAGTTTGTTCAAAAACTGGGTATATATTAAAACCAGAAGTGTCGTCCCCTGACTATTGTGCAGATCCCATGCATGTTGTAATGGACTCTTTTTAAAGGATATACTTGGAAGTGATTTTTTGAAAGGTTGAGGCAGAACATCCTGATAATCTTCCTCATTATTGTCTTCTGACTCAGATCCGTTCTCAGAATCCGTGTCAGTGGGGGCTGGATTAAGTTTGAAAAAAGGCAGCAGGCTTCCACTAGAGGAGCCATAGGGACTGAAGGCAGTGACAGCTGAAATTGGGAAAAGCTGTGGTGACTGCCATTTCCTGATCTTTTATACCCTCCCGCTTTGGATTCAGAGGACCTAATTTTTATTTTATGAATTGGAGTTGTGTCTAAGCAGTTTCCAATTTGTGTGCACATAGCAAAGGTAAAAATTGGCATGTCCTTAGCTCCTTCCGCCATGTAGCGGTTTCTTAAGCTTTCTCCTAACTTTGCCAGGTTTCTAAATTAACTGTCCCTTCTTTAGGAAACTAGGGACAAGTGTAATGAACAAAGTAAAAAAACTGTACAAGTTGAAGAGACTTAACTTTAATACCTCTAGTTTTAAGCATAGCTTTAAGCATCTGTACATAGGGATCTCTTTTCTTAGATCCAATTTGTCCCATATTTATTTCTCCTGACTATATTCAATATTAAGCTCTCCCCTTACATTATCTTACTTGTGGACATGTCCTTTGGAGAGTGTTCCCTAGTCTTCTCAGATGAGTCCTCCCATAGTTAGTCCCCAAGATTGGGGGCCACTTGCCATGACCAGTGTTTGGAGCTGTTGAACCAGACTAGAAGCGGTGGGGAATGAGAAATAAAGAAACACAGACATATAGACACACTGACATAAAACAGAAAACTTGGATCGGGAGGACTACACGTTCCTGGTGGGAAATGTGAACATCTCCGTGAGCCAGAGTGTTTCTTTTATAGATCAGTACAAGGAAATGAATCAGGTAAAATCAAGCTTCAACAATTCTTTGATCTAAGGTAAAAAGGAATGGGGTCTGGTGGACTCTTTTCCTAAGGCTATAGAAGCTTAATTACAACACATCTGATTTGAAAATCATCAAGGCATGCAGTACACCTTATCTATAAGTATTCATCAATCTGGCATCAAGGTGTTTCCTAACAGTTCTGATAGTTTATCTAGTTTTGCATCAGGGAGCTGGTTTGCATAGATAGCAAGCTATTTTGTTCAAGCAGATGTGGCAGAGGGGCAGGGGGGGGGCGGCAGGCCAGGGGTGGGGAGGAGTGGGATTTGCGGAGCGCAGTGCCGCTGCCGGGAGCCCCGCGGGGGCCGCGCCACCACCCTCTGAACTAGGATGTCCCGACATGAAGGTGTCAGCTGTGATGCATGTTTAAAAGGAAATTTTCGAGGTCGCAGATATGTGTTTAATTTGCTATGATTACGATCTTTGTGCATCTTGTTATGAAAGTGGTGCGACAGCAACAAGGCATACAACTGACCACCCAATGCAGTGCATATGAACAAGGGTAGATTTGGATTTGTACTACGATGGGGAAGCTTTCTCTGCAGAGCAGCCACAGTCTTTTACTTGTCTCTATTGTGGAAAAATGGGCTATATGGAGACATCTTGTCAAGAACATGTTACTTTTGAACATGCAGAAACATCAACAGAAGTGATTTGTCCAATATGTGCAGCGTTAGCTGGAGGCGATCCTAGTCATGTCACATATGGCTTTACAGCTCATCTTATACTTGAACACAGAGCCCCTAGAGATTTAGATGAATCTAGTGGTGGTCGACATGTACGTGGAATGTTTCACCCTGGCCGGGGATTAGGAGGTCCCCATGCTCGCAGATCAAACATGCACTTTACTAGCAGTTCTACTGCTGGACTTTCTTCTTCTCTGAGTTCATATTCTCCAAGCAATAGGGAAGCCATGGATCCTATATCTGAGCTTTTATCTCAGTTATCAGGAGTGAGACGTTCTGCTGGAGGACAGTTTAATTCTTCTGGCCCTTCTGCTTCTCAGTTACAACAACTGCAAATGCAGCTGCAACTAGAACGGCAGCATGCCCAGGCAGCATGCAAGGCAACCCGGCGCACTAACACAAGCAGCGTCACCACTACAATCACACAGTCCACAGCAACAACCAACACAGCAAATACAGAAAGCAGTCAGCAAACGCTCCAGAATTCCCAGTTTCTTTTAACAAGGTTGAATGATCCTAAAATGTCTGAAACAGAGCGCCAGTCCATGGAAAGCGAGCGTGCAGACCTCAGCCTGTTTGTCCAAGAGCTCCTTCTGTCCACTTTAGTGCGTGAAGAAAGGTCGTCCTCAGACGAGGATGAACAGGGGAAATAGCAGATTTTGGTGCTATGGGCTGTGTAGATATTATGCCTTTAGGTGTTGCTTTAGAAAACCTAAATTTAAAAGAGAGTAATAAAGGAAATGAACCTCCACCACCTCCTCTTTGATGACCTCCCAGTTCCCAGACAATGTCCTCTGTGCTGTATTTGCCAATGAAAGTGGAAAACAATTATCCTGGGTTTGTTTGGTGATTGTAATTTCAGGTCTGTCACTCTTGTTACATTGTGTACATTCAAAAGGAAGAGAGAAAATATATATGATAATCATTTCCACTTAACTAATTTTTACTTCTACCAGGTAAATGTAGGTAGCAGTGCAGGGTGATCTCTGCTTCCTGTACCTTGACATGCAAAAGGCTCTCCTAATACTCCACATTCAAACTGAAGAGGAAAATTGAAATCTCTAATGAAGCTGCTGTGTGTATTTATGAATATTAATGAATAAAAACTGCTTGGATGGTTAAAAAACAAAACAAAACAAAAAGCAGATGTGGGAAACATGGGACAAAGCACCAGGTACTGAGAAAAAAGATGTTAGGAGAGACTTTGCAAGCTCCTACTATGGAGAGTCTCCACAAGCTCCATTATTTCCCAGTCCAGGATCCATGCCTAGTCCCCAACAAGGAACCAGTTCTGGGTTCCTGCAAGGGAGGAGGTGTGGTCCTTTGGTGTCCCCACTTCCTCTAATATTTTTGGGGCAAAGCTGATTGCCCTGAATCTGCTAAATGTTTGAAAACAGACTGTCAGGTCTAGGGTCTCTATACCTTGTCTTTTAGGGTTAACGTATATCACTAAATTATAGCTATCTTCACATTGCCTAACTCACAGGAAAGGTAATGCATGTGCATTTGAAGTTCATGCAGAAGGTGAAATATTGGGAAGGTGTGGAGGATTTGAGGATTCTGCTCTCTGACATAATTTTTGGTGTCCTGGCCTGTGTCTAGACCATATGTTCAAAAGTGAATTGCAGATATAGCAGGAGGTGGTCTAATTGAAAGAGGGGTTGTACTAGCAGTCGAGCACCAACTGTAACATCCTTAGGTATCTCAAGAATGAGGCAGAACAGGACTGTGCTTTCTTTGGAGGAGCAAACAGTCCAAAGGATTTGTCTAATCAGAATGAAATTTTTGACTTTGCTTTTTGTGCCACCATTTCAGTCTTCATATTCTGTCTGAGTCCCAAGCTTGAGAATATGCTGTGCCTTCTGAATGTGAGTTTTCATTTTAACCTGGGGTCAATCAATGTGTTTGTCTGAACTGTTTCAAAATTCTTTTTGATTTTGGGGGTAGAATAGTGCTGTGGGTGTTTACAATTATTTTTAATCTTCAGTCTTGAATCCTTTGTAAAGTATTGGTATGAAATCTACAGTCTTGTCCTTAAAAATTGTGTTCCCTGGTTTGTGCTTACATTCTTGGGTTTCAATTGGGAGATTCAAATTCTGAGATTAAGTGTTGAGAAACACTTTTTCATAGAGTTAAGTGACTGATACCAACTTACTAAAGTGAGAAAGCACCAGGCCTTTTTTCCTGTTTCATTGAGTCAAACACTGGCCTGCCCTAAGCACTGCTCATTCTGTGAGATCATGGGTCAGCTCCTTGAACACTGAGTGTGGAATTCTCTCAGCAGACCCCTGGTCCATTTCCAGGTGGAAGAAACAGTGTTCATTTGGAAAAGCAGGAGCAGGATCTCCTTAAATACCATGAATCACCAGGCTGGGCTGGATAGCATTCAGGGAGAAGGTCAGATCTCCTAAACTCTGTGGCTGGAATCATGTATCTGGTCCTGGCAATTTACTAATGAGGGCACAATTTCTCCTGTAACCCAGGTCCCTGGTTCACTAGGCAATGAAAAGTTCTGGAGGGAGGGAACTATATAAACTTCCCAATCAGAATTTGGTGAGTGGAAGAATTGAATAATCCTGAGAAATGCCTTTCTGGCACCAGCCATATTCAGGATCTCTCAGGTTATTCTGAAATCAACTCTGCACTCCCTGGTGATCTGTGTGCTGGCCAGGGTAGAGGGTGGAACCACAGTCATGGCAGAAGACAGAAATGGTAGCATTGTGACCTTCATCCACACTCCCTGGAACATGATGCGTTTGGAACCAGCCTGAAGTAGCCATCATGGACCAGTGCCTCTCCACACCAGCTGAAGAGACTTAGGTCCCAGTTGTCACCCGTGTGGCACTTAGACTTGTCTGTTTAGGTGTGGTGCAGGGTGGGTGGGCAGGACCCTGTCATCCTGCCCTCTATCTGCAGGGAGACTGGCACAGGGCTGGAGCCCTCTCATTTAAGCCTGGCAGGCATCATGGTTCCTGGCAGAAAAGTCATTTTTTCCTGATAGGAGACTCTGTGGTCCTTGGGTTCCCAGCTCCTTCCAATCTCCTGAGGACAGAATTGACAGCCCTGAATTATCTAAACGTTTGGGGAGAGGATCTTGAATCCACAAGAGCCCATGCAGTTGCTTTTTAATGCTCTAGTAAAACCTTAAATTTAGAGGTAATCCACACTGCACAACTCACTGCATAGGTGATACACTTGGGGTTCAAGTGGAAGGGGACACTGGGGAAGTGAAAAAGTTTTGTGGTTGGTGCCTTCCCTGACCTGATTGATGTTCACCTTGGCCTGTGTCTAGACATCATTTTCCAAAAGGAAATGCAAATTGTATCAGAACATGAATATAGGGACACAGAGTTGAGACAATTCCATCAGCATGGTTTTCAGGAATCTCAAGGTAATGTAGAGAAAGGCTGTTTGTTCTAGGGAGGAGAAAATAGGAGAAGAAAGAAGATGGGAGAGGAGGGACAAAGGAGGGGCCAAAATCAGCTCCTGGACCAGAGTTCCTTTCACCTGAGGTCAGACAATTTCAGGTGACAATGGAGAAGAGTTTCTTGTGCTGGCTCAGCCTGAGCCACCAGTTCTGCTACAGTCAAATTCTCTACCATTGAGCTTCACCCCTGCTGAGCCACCAGGTCTGACTTCAGACCTGGAGAGTTGAGTGAATTTCCCTAGGAAAGTTTGCTTTGTAAGTGTTCTGTTTCAGTGGATCAAGCAATCAAATGAATTTGAGGTAGAACAAGGAAGAAACAAAAGTGTGTGCTTATCTTGTGTGTTTAGAAAGGAAAGACATCTAAGTGTAATGGGAACAGAAAGGATGGTGAGGAGGAGTTCTTTGATCACCTCTATTTAGCAGGATTACTTTGCATGTATGTTTTCAGCTGTTTGCATTTGCATTCAGGGTTTTGGTCTTGTCAGAGTGCAATTTGTGACAATTAAGAAAATCTTTGATGGACCAGAAAAAAAGAGCAAACTTTGGGATCTGCCTGCTCTAAATAAAAGGTTCATAAAATTGCAAGTTTATTTTGGTGTGTGGTATAATTTACATTCTGTTGCACACATGATGGCCAAGAAGGCTACAGTTCATCCTGTTTACTCACTCACAACTAAAATATATTCTAGGGTCATGTTAAACTAAACTTGATTCTCTATGTTCATAAAATAACAAGACTACCTTAATATTCTTCTTCTCTGTGTAAGATGTCTAAAAAAACATTGTGGGGAAGATTTTATTGAAGTAATTACTTTTGTTTTCTTTTGATTTTGTAAAGCTTTGAAACACTACTAAACCAGAGTTCACTTAAGTATTTTTCATGTAAATTTCTCTTAAATGATCACCTTTTAACTGTGTTCTGTGTCTGGAATTTACATAAATATTTTGCAAACATTTGCAAAGTATAAAATGTAAGAATATCTAGAAGGACCAGCTAATTTTCCCTTTTATCCAAAAGCATGACATCTATATATTTGGCATATAAAATGGTTAATGAAATTTTAACAGTGTGTAATCAGTAACGTTCAGAAAAATTCTACCATTTTGGCAATCCTGCTACTTAAAACTGGCCTATAGTTGTCTTAGCCAAATAATTGTTATTGTGTGTATATAAAATAGCCATTGTCCCCCTTAATTGTAAGAGAGCTAAAGTTAATGATGCCAGACTTTTGCAAGCTTGTGTTCATGTGTTCCTAATTGTAATAAGGAATATTTAATGCTGCTGTTATAATGCTGTCAGTAATAACTACTTTCCTAAAAATGCTCTCTGTAATGGAAATAACTAAGTATTCTCACAATCTCCAAAGTACTTTACAGTACTTTAACCTTGGCTGTTCTAAGTCTTGTCATTTGCAGTCTGGGTCTTTCTTTGGAGCATTTGTAATCCCAAAATGGATTCTACCAAGTACGCATTTTTCAATTGACACAGCCTTTGAGATATTTGCTTTTGATGGCTCTTTTAAAAACTTTTAACTGTTGTCTATTGAAATTCTGCAGCATTTTTAAGTTGTCAGGTTATCATCTTTAGTCCAGACAGAGCTAAAAATGGATGCCAGGTAAGCTGAATTCTTCTAAACATCCTTTCTTGCTTATAATTTGGCCAAGCAGGTATTAACTGTCATTGATTCCCACCTGACTTTCCTGATACTTCCCCTCCATCATGGGACATCTTAGAAAAGCTCAGTGAGGGATTTTCATTTACCAGCACGGATAATGGTTTTTAGTAGTACATGCTCATGGAATTACTTTCCCATACACAGTGTATTCAACTGGGAGTATTCTGACTTTTAACTATGCTGTATTCTATTTGATTAAGATGTTTCTAGTGTTAGAGTTAAAGAAAAAGTAATGATGACTTAGACTTAAACTGCTGAGATGGAACACCATCCAGATAACAACTCTGGAACATCTGCCAGAACAGGGGCTGAGATGGTGGCCAATCAGGCTACACCTTTGTTCAGAACCATATACTATGCATGCCTTTGTCCCATGTCCCCAGTTCTTTTGTCTACTTTAACCTAAAGCCAATGTCTGCACTAAATTCCCTTGGTTTTTCCTTCTCATGCTGATTGCCATTGGCCCATATGCATTTAACTGCATGTCTCATTTTATCTCCTAAAGCCTTCATTTCTTCACACAGGTTGCTACTCAAAACCTTGTCTTAAGAGTGCTGTTTTTATGTGAAGAATGCTTTTATGTCAACCACTCCAGGATTGTTAATGATGCCACTAAGAAGCATTGGGAACATGCTGCCAATCTCTAACAATGAAGAATGGACAGTTGGGAACAGTTGTCTTCCTGGGGTAAGTGGATGCCATGGGTCTTCTATCTGCTAAAACCCCTTAATTTTTCCCATTGTGACCTGGTCTTCTTCAAACACTTCCTCAATTTGTTTCCCAGAGGCTCCAAGCTTTTGTACAGGACACTACTTGTAAACAGAACAGCTCAGTTCTAGTCCTCCAAAAGGGCCACTACAGTCATATGAAGCAAGAGGACCCTGACCATACCCTCTCCCCTTAACAAACCTTGACACCCTTTTGACTTTAGGAGGGAGGAGATAGAGGAACATGGTGACCCATTCCCTTTTGTATATCAAAGGGAAGGAATGTTAGGGTGAACAAAAAGAA